CACCCCACCCACCACCAACACTCACCCTCGACGCGATGGACACGGGCACCATGGCAACCGCATCTCCTCCGCCGCCGATGCTGCCTCCGGGGGCGAGGTCCCTCTTCGTGAGCCTCCTCAACTGGGCGGGGGGAGGGGACTGATCCGGCGCCGCGTCGGGGGCCGCCGCCGCCGCCACGTTCGTCTCTCCCTTCACCGGCTCCAGGTAGCTGACAGAGGAAAAAGGAAGGATGGATGAAGGGAGGGTGGGAGCTGTGTCAGTAATGTGTGTATGTGTGTGTGCGTGCACTGTTGTTGTTGTTGTTGTTGCTGCTGCTGCTGGTGGTGGTGGTGCTGCTACTGGTACTGCTACTGGTACTGCTACTGCTACTGCTACCGCCACTACTACCGCTACCGCCACTACTACCGCTGCCGCTACCACTACCATCGCCGCACGACCGCTACCCCCACCACTACCGCCACTGCCACTACTACCGCTACCACCACTACTACCGCTGCCGCTACCACCCCCACTACCGCTACCGCCACTACTAGCCAGGGATCGAATTTGACGACGGCAACTGACGGCATTTGCCGCCGGAACATATTGATTTGCCGTCGGAGGTAGTCTGTATCGGCGGCAAGTAAATATGCCAATATGCCGTCGTAGCACTTAGTACCTAAATGCCGTCAGATGTATGATTTAGGCCGTGGATATTCTTACGACCAGTCGTAACAATTATTTACTACGCATATCAACTTCCGCATCAGACTTTCCGTTTATCAAGGAATGATGCAAAAACCCTAACCCTAATCCCAACCCTAACCCTAACACTAACTACAAACCGACTCGTCTATCTTATATACGGGGTATGGTATCCCAAACACTATCTATGGTGTATGTTGCATGTCGTAAGAATAGTCCATAAATAATTGTTACGACTGGTCGTAAGAATAGCCACGGCGTATAATTTAACACAAACAACGACGGCAAGTGCCATTGCAACGTATCGGTGTTGAATTCTTGTAATTGTTACATATGTTAATCAATATCATTATCTTTTAGCCGTATAACTTATGATTTTTCACAGAAAATCGACGCGTTCGGTTTTCTAGACTTGCTGTCAGAGTGTTGCTACTTGCCGTCAGAGGGCACAGCCTCTGACGGCAAGTAGCAGCCTTACTTGCTGTCAGAGGCAAATTGTCAAATTCGATGCTTGCTAGCGCTACCACCACTACTACCGCTACCGCCACTACTACCGCTACCACCACTACTACCGCTGCGGCTACCACTACCATCGCCGCACGACCCCTACCACCACCACTACCGCCACTACTACCACTACCGCCACTACTACCGCTACCGCCGCCACTACTACTACTACTGCCACTACTACCACTACTGCTACCACCACTACTACTACCGCTACCGCCACTACTACCACTACCGCCACTACTACCACTACTGCTACCCCCACTACTACTACCGCTACTACTACTACTACCGCTACTACTACTGCTACCACTACTACTACCGCTACCGCTACTACTACTGCTACCACCACCACTACCGCTACCGCTACTCCTACCACCGCTGCCGCTACCACCACCATCGCCGCGCGGCCGGCCGCTCACCCGAACTTGCTTTCGACGGCGTGTCTGAACGCGTCGGGGTTGGTGACGAATCTCAGCTCGACGTCCATGTCCGGATTCGGCGTGTTGTTGATGATGTAAAGAAGCTGGTCGCCGACCAGCCGCTTCAGCGACATCACCTCGACGCTGTTGCCGTGACGCAGCAGACGCTCCGTGAACCTGCGACGAAGACAAGGATGAGGATGAGGATGAGGATGCTGCGGGGGGGTGGAGGGAGGGGGGGTTTCCTTCCCTGTCCTGCACAGAGACAACATCACCTCGACGCTGTTGCCGTGACGCCGCAGCTGCTCCGTGAACCTCTGACGAGGACGAGGATGAGGATGAGGATGAGGATGAGGATGCTGCGGGGTGGGGGGTTTTGGGTGGAGGGATGGGGGGGTTTCCTTCCCTGTCCTGCACAGAGACAACATCTCTTCGACGCTGCTGCCGTGACGCAGCAGCCGCTCCGTGAACCTGCGAGCGGACGAGGATGAGGATGAGGATGAGGATGGAGATGCTGTTTGGGGGTTTCAGTGGGAAGTTAGCGCTTCAGTGGGAATCATGGCTACTATATATATATACACTATACATCGACGACCCTTACATGACCCTGGAAATGTAGCCTCCCCTACACACCCCCGCGCGCACGCGGCGCCCCCTACGTACTTTGATCCCTGCTCTATCTTCTGCGCCGTGTTGTCGACATCGTTGCACATCTCCATGATGGCGAGCTCTCGGCGTCTGTGCGCGTCGGCCAGACGCTCGACGGCGTCGTCGTGGCAACGCTGCAGCACGGCGCGGTAGCTCTGCAGCGTTTCGTCGATGAGGCCGCGCGCGCTCTCGTACTGCTGCTGAAGGTCGGACAGCTTGCCTTCGAGAAACGTCGTCGCCTCCTCGCAGAACGCCCTCTGTGGGAGAGAGAGGGAAACGACGGTGAGGACGCGGCGGTGCGGAGGTTGCGAGAGTTCGCACTCACACTATCATTATCACACTAGCACACACTCACACTTTCGCATACTCACACTCACATTATCACTGTCCTACACTCACACTCACACTTACAGTATTATGCACTAACACTCACTCTATCACACACTCACACTATCTCTATCACACACACATTATCACTGTCCTA